TGAAGCCAGATCTCATAGAGGGGAGGACAGAGGGCTGCCTCATGCTCTGTTGTTCAAGTCACCCATCCCCTCTCTGTTCTCAGGTGGGCCCCACTGATCAAACCAACTTAACGATCGAGTTGATGCACCTAAAGGGCAATTACTGCATCCAGGTCAATGCTCAGGAACTCTTGGGCCATGGAGAGCCAAGCGAATGGAGTCCTTCCACCGTTTACTTCATCCCTCCAGGCAAGTAGTGGTGTCCTTCCTCCCAGCACCACCCACACAAAGATGCTCATGGGATCACGCTGTCCTCTCTTGAAGTCCTTGACATCGCTGCTGTGTTGCTGGGCTACCTCAGACCCATGACTTTAACCTACATGAGCCTCAGTTTTCTCATATATGAAATGGGGATGTTCTTCACCTTTGTCTCACAGTGGTGGACAGTGAAATGTGATGTGAGAGTCTTCATCGCTTTATTAAACATAGTAGGAGTGTTCATGTCTGAGGCAATAGCAGGTTCTTGATCTGAACTCACTGCTCCAGAAGAAGGTGGGGCAGCTACCCTGCCTGGGTTTCTCTCTGCCTTCTGACCCAAGAGAAGATCTGCTACAGTTCACTAGAAAAAAAGGCCTGTAAAAGCTGCCTCCTGTGCCAGACAACTGCTGCATGTAGGGTAGCCCAAAGTGCTAAAGGCAGTTGATGGATTGGGTGTGAGGAAAAGCAAGGCAGAGTGTGGCAACCTGATTGGAAAAGCCGGAAGCCTTGGTTTTTCCTGTGAGAATGAACTCCAGTTGTGTTGTTCCCTTCTGATGGAGCTTAAGGGGTCCCACGTGATCCAACCAAGGAGCAGTGCCCTCCACAACGTACCTCACTCAAGGTCAGCATTGATCCTGGCAGGGCCCTCACGTCAGGCCCAGAGTTCTTAGCATGGCCCAGGTCTGAGGCCTCGGGACCAGAGTTCTCAGTATGGCCCAGGTCTGAGGCATCGGGACCAGAGTTCTCAACATGGCCCAGGCCATGTTACCAGCATGGGCCGAGAGGTATCAGTGTCAGGACTGGAATGCTGGTCGCAGCCTTTGCTTTTCTCTCACTCAAATTTCACCTGTCCTGCTCACTCCTGGTGGTTCACTGGGTTAGGAAGGGATGAGGTGTGTCGTGGTGGGTCCCAAAGGGTCCCAGAGGGTCAGTGTGTGTTGCAGCAAGTTTTTGGGTCCTTGTGGGTCACTGGATCCCCATGGGTCACAGTTTCTGCTGTGTCAGGGCTCCCAGCTCAGTTCACTCTTTCTTGAAGGTGGTATAAATTTAGTTTTTTTCCCTAATTAATAGGCATCCATGTGTTTGTGCTGATGCGGCGGTTTGAGCCGACTCCTAGATCTAATTTTGTGTGTGTGATTCATATACTCAAATGTACTTGCATGGTGAATAAAACATAGATCCAAAACAGGAAAGATTCTGCAGGGGCTTTTTGTTTACTCAAGCTGCTAAGCCCCCAGGGCTCCTTTTTCGCCTGGTCCAGTGGTTACCGACCGAGGTCCCACCGATATCACCTCTGTCTGCTCTCTCACAGTCATGGTTGGCCAGCTTGTCTCCTGTCCTCTGGTCTTGCTGGACTCTTGTTATTAATTTCTAGTTTTGTATCATTGTGGTCTGAGAAGGGGCTTTGTAGTATTTCTACATTTTTTCAATTTATTGCTGGTTTCCTTGTGACCTAAAATGTTATCTGTTCTGGAGAATGTTCCACACACATTGGAGAAAAAGGTATATGTAGCTTTTGCATATTTTTTTTCTTCTTCTTTCATTAGCCAGTACATCTGTGAGGTTGAGGTGATTTATTGTGTGGGTTAATTCTTATGCATCTTTGTTGAGTTTCTTTCTGGTAGGTCTATCTCTTCTTGAGAGTGGTTTATTGAAGTCTACTACTACTACAGTGTTGTCTATTTCTCCTTTCAGGCGACCAGGGACCACAGCACAGTGGTGGCCTTGTACCAAAGACACCTATTCTATGCGATCCAGGTGAGTCTATCAAGAGTGAGTTCACTAGCTGGTCCTTGACACGATGCCCATATGGCTTTAGGCCAGCCCCTGCAGCTATCTGGGCCTCAGTCTCCCCATCGGTATCTGAAAACTCTGACCTTGACAGAGTTCCTCTGCCTGTTGTAAACATTTTGTGTTCATCTCTGGGTGGGCTGGCTAGATCAAAGCTGTGGAAGAAGAAGAATGGGGGTTTGGGCAGGATCCCAGGCCCTCTACTCCCCATGACTCCAGGGCCAGATGGCAAAAGACTTTCTGTGAATCCTCAATCAGATTCTGCAAACGCAGAGGCTCCAAGCACAGGGCTGCTGAAGCCGGCAGTTAGGTGCTACTCCTCAGAGGCCTCTGCTCCAACGTCCCCTCCCTATGACTCTGCCCATCTGAGTGGACCAGCCCCACTCAGGCACTGAGAGTGTCCACTGCCCTTTCAAACCTGGGGGGACTGTGGAACCCCTTCCTGAACATCAACACCTGACTGCACCCCTACCTTGTCCCCACCTGACTGGAGAGTCTGTGGCCATCCAGCTTCCCCTCCACCTGTCACCAAACGCCAACCCAGGACTGAAACATCACTGTGCTCACGGCCAGAAAGCAAAGCATGTGGCCCAGCTACTGGGTACCCCTGTGGGTGAGGGGAAGTGTGTGCATTCAAGACAGGGCCCCAAGTGGGGTACGCGAGGGATTACGAATTTATAAAAAACTGAGACTAAACCCCTTGCTGTAACTCACATTACCTCTGTGTACATCAGAGTACAACCGGGCTCTGTAAGATTGTCAGTGGATGGTTTTCTACAAGGAGGTGGTCAGGTTTTCTTCCATGGCACTTGAGCACACTTGAGTGGTTCCTATTTGGCTGGCAGCAGTGTGGGGTGGGCTGTCAGTTAAAACTCTGTCCTTCGGTGGGCACCATGCAGACGGCCTGGCCCAGCGGAGTCAGCGGTGACCTGATCTTTGCAACAGCTGCCCTTGAGCTGATAGCGCCCCCCATATGTGTGAGAACAGAACTGTTCTCCGTTGGGTTTTCAGTGGCTCAGAGTTTTCAGAAGTGGATTCCTACCTGTCCTCAGAGGCACCTCTAGTGAGCACAGGTTTAAAGGGGCACTCAAACACGGTCATGTCGATAAAGCATGTTGGACTTCTTGTTGTTGTTGATTGCCTTCAAGTCGAGCATGACTCCTAGCGAGCCTATGAACAAAAGGCTTGAAGCCCCTCTACAACTATCGAGAATTTTCAAAGTTCATAATGATTCCGGAGGTATGTTTTTTTAGGATATGGGTACCGCTCCTGCTTCCATGATGAAACATATTATCAGGCAGTTAGTTAGAAAATCAACAAGAGGTGGGAGAAAAATAAGCAATTATAAACAAAATATGAGCATTTTCTAGAAACACAGTGTCAAGGATTGATTGTGTCTCCTGGAAATACATGTCAGTCTGTCTGAGTGAGGAGTCTTGGTGCTTCAGCTGGTATGTAATGGAACCACTGTTCAGTCAAGCAATGTCCTTAATCCCACACACCCCTGAGCTGATGACAGGGCCTTTTAGAAAAATTACAGACCCAGAACCCCACACATCTCCATGTGTCAGAGTGAGAATGTGAGGAGTTAGTGTGCTGGTCCCCCTTGGTGACCATCTCTCATTACAATGCATCTCTGTGGATCATCCTTTCCCTCTGTGTGGCTTGGTGTCTTTTCTCCACTGAGTATCTCCTTGTGGTCTGTATTGTGTCTCTGGCAACCTCCTCCGTCTCTCTCTCGCTGTGTCTCTCATCCCCATGACTAACTCTGTCTCTACCATGTCTCTGCATCTGTGTCTCACTCGATTTCTATAGATCTCTCTGTGTCTCCGTATCTCTATATGGCAGTCTCTCCATTGGTGTCTCTCTGTATCCGTGTCTGTCTCTTCTCTCTGTGACTCTTCCCTTATCTCTCTGCCCATCTGTAATCTGTGCCTATTTGTATCTGTACAGTTGTTTCAAGTTGCAATACTGAGAGATGCTATGGGAACAACCTTGAATGATCCAGGAAGCCTCAAAAAAAGTTAGAAGACAGCGGATCATTCTACAAAAGAAATGGGCAATACTAAAACATTTTCAGAAAGCAGGATATGATATGAGATGATATGAAAAGGTGATGAATAAAGATGTTTAAGCTGCATTGAAGGCACTGGAAAAAAGAAAAATAAGGTTCCAGAAATCAATGAGATACCAATTTTGTTGTTGTTGTTGTTGTTGTTGTTGTTATGTGCCATCGAGTCACTTGCGACTCATAGCGACCCTCTGTACAACAGCCCTAAACTCTGCTCTGTCTGGTGCTGATCGTGCTGTCTCTGACACGCCCATCCAGATTTCCCCAGTCACTGAATCAATCCACCTCCTAGAGGGCCTTCCCCTCCTGTGCTGTCCTTCCACCCTCCCAGACATGATGTCCTTCTCCAAGACCCAGTCTCTCCTTACAAGATGTCCCAAGTATGTTAGATGAAGCCTCAGAATCCTTGCCTCTAAGTAGTCACCTGGTTTAACCCTTTCCAGGATGAATCTGTTTGTTTTCCTAGCAGTACGTGGTACTCTCAATACTCTTCTCCAGCACCACAGCTCAAAGGCATCAATTCTCTTTCTATCCTCCTTAGTCACTGTCCAACTCGCTGATGCATAACAAGTGATTGTGAACACTATGGCCTGTATCAGATGCACCTTAGTCTCAAGAGAGACACCATTTCTCTTCAGTACTTTGGAGAGGTCCCTAACAGCAGATTTTTCCATGGCAATACACCTTGTCATCTCCTGGCTACTGGTGTCAAGAGTGTTGACTGTGGAGTTCAGCAAACTAAAGCTGTGAACAATCTCAATCTCTTCACCATCCATCCTGATGCTGCCAATTGGCCCAGTGGTGAGAATCTTTGTCTTCTTGACACTGAGCCTCAATCCATATTGGAGGCTACAGTCCTTGACCCTCTGCAACAAGCACTTCAGGTCCTCCTCAGTTTCAGCAAGCAGGGTTGTGTCAGCTGCATAACACAGATTGTTGATAGATCTTCCAGCAATCCTGACCCCACACTTCTCCTCATAGAGCCCAGCCTCCCGGATAATCTGTTCTGCATATAGGTTGAAAAGGTATGGAGACAGGATGCATCCCTGGCGTACACCCTTCCCAATTTTGAAACATGTAGTGTAACCTTCCTCTGTCCTGACGACTGCCTCCTGATCCAAGTATAGGTTTCGCATTAGAAAGATCAAGTGTTCTGGGATTTTCATTCTTCTCAGAGTCAGCCACAGTTTGTTATGATCCACACAGTCAAACAACTTTGCATAGTCAATGCAACACAGATAAGCATTCCTCTGGTATTCCCTACTTTCAGCTAAGATCCATCTAACATCAGCTACCATATCCCTAGTACCACAACCCCTTCTAAACCCAGCCTGAACTTCTGGCAGTTCTCTGCTGATGTGTTGTTCCAGTCGTTTTTGGATAATTTTCAGTAGAATCTTGCTTGCATGTGAAATCAACGAGATTGTTCTATAATTCCACACTCAGTTGGGTCACCTTTCTTTGGGATGGGGACAAATAGAGATCTTTTCCAGTCAGCTGGCCAAGTGGTTGTTCTCCAGATTTCTTGGCACTACTTGATGAGCAAGTTCAGGGCAGCATCTGTTAGCTGAAATATGTCAATTGGTATACCATCTATTCCTGGGGCCTTATTTTTTCCATTTCCTTCAAAGCAGCCTGAACTTCTTCTTTCATCACCGTAGGCTCTTGCTCATATGTTGTTTCATGGAATTCTTCTGTGTCTGCCGATTCCTTTCCATACAGTGACTCAGTATATTCTTTCCATCTTCTTTTAATACTTCCTGGATCATTTAATATTCTGCCGAAAGCATCGTTGATTATAGCAACTCGAGGTTTGAATTTGTTCTTCAGTTCCTTGAGCTTAAGAAATGCTGAGTGAGTCTGGCCCTTTGGATTTTGCAACTCCTTGCACATTTCATTGTAATATTTTACTTTATCATCCTGAGTGCTGCCTTTTGAAATCTTCTGTTCAACTCTTTAGTATCTTGAATTCTTCCGTGTGCTTTGGCTTCTCTGCACTACAGTGCAATTTTCAGAGTCTATTCTGACATCCATTTTGGTCTTCTCTTCCTTTTCTGTCTTTTCAATGACCATTTGGACTCTTCCTGGATGATACCGTTGATATCCTCCCACAACTCGTCTGGTCTTCACTCATTAGTTAGTGTTCAAGGCCTCAAACCTGTTCCTGAGATGGTTCTGAAATTCAGGTGGAATAGACCCGAAGTCATATTTTCCTTCCTGTGGATTTGGTTTAATTTTCCTCAACTTCAGCTAAAACTTCCTTATGAGTAGTTGGTGGTCTGTTCCACAATCAGCTCCTGACCTAGTTTTCACAGCTGATATTGAGCTTCTCCAGCGGTTCTTTCCACAGATGTAATATATCTGATTTGACTGTGTGGATCATAACAAACTATGGCTGACTCTGAGAAGAATGGGAATCCCAGAACACTTGATCGTTCTAATGCGAAACCTATACTTG